CAGACAAAGTCATAGGCCTTAAGGGGTTCTTCCCTACATTAAGGGAGAAGTCATTTAGTACTGGAGCACTTGCAGGTATGAAGAAATTAAGAATATTCCAACTTAGAAATGCTGATGTTGTTGGAGGCTGGGAACAATTTTCTAAAGAATTAAGATGGTTGTTTTGGGAAAGATGTCCTTGGTTATCTATACCACCTAGTTTAAATCTCAAAAAATTGGTTGTACTGAGGCTGTGCTACAGCAAACTCCAATATATTTGGGAGCAACCAAAGGTATGGCTGTATATATATGTTTCTTGTTTCAAGTAGGATTATTCTTAACTAGAGTTATAATTTTTCTATAAACATTAAATGACTCTCATCCTTCTTGCAGGTTCTTAAAAATCTAAAAGTCCTTGATCTCAGTCATTCACATGACTTAATCAGAACCTCTGACATCTCAGGTCTTTTAAACATTGAGAAATTAATCTTCAGAGGCTGCATTAATTTGATTGAGTTGCATCAGTCCATTGGCAGTCTTAGCAAACTCATTTATTTGGACTTGGAAAACTGCCAGAACCTCGTTCATCTGCCCTCAGAGATTTGTGAGTTAAGGTTCCTTGAGAATCTTGACTTGTATTGCTGCTCAAAACTAAGGGAGTTGCCAGAGGATTTCAGAAACATGGAAAGTTTGAAAGAGCTCAATGTGGGCTGTACTGCCATGAAGCATTTACCCATTTCCATTGACCATCTTAAGAATCTTACAAATTTCTTTTGGAACAATGAGAGATCTTTGCTTGAAAGTCCAGGTATCTACGATTTGTCTCCACTATGGAATCTGACTTCTGTAAAAGAATTGAATCTGTCGTTCTGCAAACTATCAGATAATTCACTTCCCAGAGATGTCAGTGGCTTACAAAATTTGGAGACGTTGCTTCTAAGAGGAAACACTTTTCATCACTTACCAATTTTTCTATCAGATTTGCCAAAGTTAAAAGAGCTTGATGTTTCTGAATGTGATCTATCAGGCACATCAGGTCCCTTGGTTGTTGCAAGCCCCATTTTGCAGGAATTGAATTTAAGCAGAAACAACTTCTGCAGCCTACCAGTTGATCTTACTTCCCTTCCTCTTGAAACCAAGGTTTTCCTAGTGCTGTGCAAGAAGCTCAAAGTAATAGAATCTGAATCACACACGATTTTGATCACATACCTTTGCAAATCTTTGGAGAAAGTAACATTCAAAGGAGGGTTCAGTAACAGAAGTCTTGGATCAATCTTTCCTAGGTTTAATGATTCACTTTTGAAGCCGGTCTGGTGCCAATCGAAACCTTTAACTAGCGTGCAACTTGCTAAGTTAGAGCACTTGTTTGGATTGAAGGCTTTGCTAAACAAGCGTTTGTGTGTTTTCAAAGACTTCATACTTACTCAGAGTAAGGATCGTCCCATTCAGGTTACTCTCTTGCGCTCTTTGTCCTTCTAAAGTTTTCCAAAGTTAAGAAGACATAATTCTCATTTTTTATGTGGCAAGGCAATTTTTTTAAAAAATGAATTGTCAGTGTTGCAGGGTTTTTCTGATTATATGGAGCCGATTTATAACATCTTTCTTCCCGAAGGAACGATGCCCTATGGGTTTAATCATGAGGATAATGTTGCATGTACAATTGTAGATGTGCCTCAAGTTTCAAGTGGAAGTTTCCAAGGGCTTGCAGTATGTGTTTTTTATCATGTTGGAGATCCTTGTCCTTCAAGTTCTGCCATAACAATAGAGGATAAGGATTTTTCTCGTCACCACCGTACCTACCTTCCCGGGCCCTATGAGGACTATGAGAAAAGTGAATTCATGTGGGTCAGCTGCTGGAGAACACCAAGTTTGGTGAATGAATGCAATAGATTCAGTATTAAAGTAGAAACTGACGGATTCGATTTTCCGATTGTGAAAAGGATTGGTTTCCGCCTCTTATCTGAAAAGGAGCTAGACCTAGTCGCAGATGTCTGGTAAATCCTTAACCTCTATAGCTTACACACCGTTGTTGAAGTTTTGAAGTCTTACCAAATATTTCAATTGCAGGGGAAAACCCACCTGGATTGATGATATGCATCCCAATGCTAATATTGAGTTTTTGAACAGGTATTTATATGAAAATTTTTCTCAGAATTTCAATTGAAATTAATTTCCAATAAATTCAATTTTCAAAAAAAAAAAGAAGAGAAATTAATTGGATGAAAGAAATAAAATAAAATAATTTGGAATTGGTTGTAAAGACCTAAGACTTTGAAATTGTGAACTGCAGCATTGCACTCAGAAACAGGAGCGAAGGATGGGGATGGAAGTGGTCGACAATACAACGTCGTTTCACTTGACTGAGTTAAAAGGCTAAAAGGCCAAGTAATCGCCACCCTCTCTCCTAATTTTCTCAAATTCTTCGTGGCTTATCCCAACCTACTCGAGTTTGAATAGGTCAGAGCATCAAATAAAGAGATTTCAAATCATTTAAGCTGGAGTTTGTTTTGTTTATTATACAAGGCTTATGATTTAAAGGAAAACATTAGGAAACGTTTAAAAGTGGGAAAGGGGTACGATCGAATATAATCAAAGTATTCGTTTTAATGTATTTAATTTTTTTGTGGGCACCTAACTATTGTTTGTTAGTTAAGGGTTTTTTTTTTTTTTTTTAATTATCGATTAAATTGAATTTTTTTGTTTATGTTGATTAACCATTGAATTACCTAAAAATTAAAGTATGTGCTAACTGTAAAAGTAGGAAAGTTATGAGATGCCTAATACTTCTCTATTGATCCTCTAGTTCTAGTTAAATTTTTGTACCAGACTTCGCATTGGATAAATTGCGACTCTATAAGAAGTCTAACACCTAAACAAAGTGAAGAAAGGCAGTATAACACATCTCCTTAGGCACTCTTAGTCCTAAAAGAGTTCGGAAACAAAATTTATAGTAAAGAATTGCAGCGGAAGTAAAAAACACTTATGATATAAAATATTTCTTCAAAAGAAAGCTTACATTCAGAAAATCAATTTAATAAAAAAATTATCATATATATATTGGAAAATGTCAAAATATGCAAAGTTATAAGATAAACTGAGTTAAACTCATTTATAATTAATTTAAAGATTTTATACATAAAGGTAATTTACACAAAAATTATACGAGGTAAATTATTCTTTAAAGCTTTTCAAAAAACAAAAGCTAAGTCATGATTTTGGTAACACATTGATCTGCCTCCCTATCGAAAACACGAGGCCCTAGCTGGTACATACAACGAGCATGCGAGTCCCGTGCCAAAAGCTCATAAACCAAAAGGCTGCTACCTCAATCTACTGATCTGAAATGGAGGGGGAATTTTATGAGCTCACACCCCAGTAAGCAATAAGTTTAAGCTATAAACTTGGGTCCTAAGACCCTTAAACCTATCCTCACAAAGAGCATAAGACACAACGGAATCAAATCATAAGTACAATGTTAAGTAATAATCAATGACATTTAAACTGAATTCATATACTAAAGTCATATGCTCACAAATACGATGTCACATACGCAATGCATAAAAATCGAAAATCACACAATGCTATGGAGTCCACTGAGGTGTGCTAGCAACACTGTACCAGAGCTAATCACGGTACTAACTCTACTGCGCAGAGGTCCACAAAATACCCCGAAGGGTCCACTGAATACCCCAAACTTTAAACTTAGGTCCACTTCCTCCATAGCCACAACCACATACACATGTCAAACAAATTCATAATATGTCCAAAATAATATTAGGACTTCCTATTGAAAGAGATCAAAGCATAATGCGTGAACAGTAATCACGAACAGTAATTGTGAACAGTAATCATGAACAGTGATTCGTAAACAATCCAATTTCCTTCTAATTCCTACAGCAAAAATCACACCCAAATCAAACAATAGAAAGGACTAACTCACTATTTTTTGCCATATAAGCCCCAAAATTAATGATATTTCTAATAAAAGTTTAATACCCAAAAATCTTATAAACCAAAGGATTAAAGTCAAATTTCACCAATTTAAACTACCCAAAACTCTAATCCAAAATTCATAACTAAAACTTATACATACCTAACAAAAAGCACCTTAACTTTGGTTGGAGAAAGAAGGTAGAAAAGATGGAGGTGGAAGAGGAAGGCATGAGAAAGCAAAATGAGGCTTTTGGGAGCTTTCTGGAGGCTTATCCAAGCTTCCACCGACAAGACAAAAAAACTTGGTTGTGACCAATGTTTTCAAAACCGGATCGATTATTGAACCGTTTTCAGGTCCGGTTCTTGGTTTGACCGGTTCAACCGGTTGAACCAGTAAACCGGCCGATTCAAACAATAAGGAAGGTTTGATGAGAGGAGCAAGCTATAGGCATGGATTTTTTTATTTGGTGTTGATAATTTTGTAATTTTGTTAAAGTTAAAGGTTAAAATGGGTATAAGA